TGGCAAGATAGTTACATAAATAGCAAGATAGATACACAAATAGCAAGATAGATACATAAATAGCAAGATAGTTACATAAATAGCAAGATAGACACATAAATAGCAAGATAGACACATAAATAGCAAGATAGATACATACATAGCAAGATAGATACATAAATAGCAAGATAGATACATATCTAGCAAGATAGATACATAAATAGTAAGATAGATACATAAATAGCAAGATAGATACACAAATAGCAAGATAGATACACAAATAGCAAGATAGATACATAAATAGCAAGATAGATACATAAATAGCAAGATAGATACACAAATAGCAATATAGATACGTAAATAGCAAGATAGATACATAAATAGTAAGATAGATACACAAATAGCAAGATAGATACATAAATAGCAAGATAGTTACAGAAATAGCAAGATAGACACATAAATAGCAAGATAGATACATAAATAGCAAGATAGATACATAAATAGCAAGATAGATACATAAATAGCAAGATAGATACACAAATAGCAAGATAGATACACAAATAGCAAGATAGATACATAAATAGCAAGATAGACACATACATAGCAAGATAGATATATAAATAGCAAGATAGATACATAAATAGCAAGATAGATACATAAATAGCAAGATAGACACACACATAGCAAGATAGATACATAAATAGCAAGATAGATACACAAATAGCAAGATAGATACATAAATAGCAGGATAGATACATAAATAGCAAGATAGATACACAAATAGCAAGATAGACACACACATAGCAAGATAGATACATACATAGCAAGATAGATACACAAAGAGCAAGATAGTTACATAAATACATATTTGGGATCACTCCAGGAAGGTCATTTAGCTGGCTAATGGGATGTGTTAAATACTATACAATATATATTGTACCTTTCCTTTTATGTATATCTGTATTAATCGGAATCATCTGCTCGTGAATTGCGTCGATTATATTCTGCACAGCGACGCGGGATGATTATTCTGCGTTCTGTACCATCACGCAGTGCTGCTGCTGGTGATGGTGCAGGGATGATTGCTCGCTAACAGCACTTGCCCCCACGGCATGCTAAGGCTATACGGGGGATCTTTGTCTTTGGTGCAGGGATGGAGTGCATCTCTGCTGCGTGCCACGAGCACAGCTCACGTCTTCGCGAAATGTGCGTATGTGTACAGTACGTACGTTTCGCACCGTACGCGTGCAAACCCGGGCACGACGTCCGACGTTTCGCTCCGCTTCCTGGGACCCGAATTCAAAGAGCTGCCGCTTCACCGCAATAACGCCGACAAATGCAACACCTCTGCGGTGGCTTTTGTCGATATTTTCCACCCCCCCTCCCCCCCCCACCGCGACCCTCCCAAGCGTGGCTTCTTTTCCGCTCTGGAGATATTGCCAATTCAATTTCCAAAAAGAATGTTTCCATCAACACGTTGACATTCCCTTCCCCCACTCCCCCCTTCAGCTATCGGTGCTGTGGGCTCCCTGTCCCCCTCTGTTCAAATCCAAGGCACAAGACCATCCGCTTTACCCTCTGCCTAGGACCGACCTCCTCCACCTCCTCCTCCACCTCCCGTCTAAACATGAAACACGTTCACCGCGAGCGAAGCTGTGTGCGAGTTTTCGGAATTAAAAAAAAAACAAATCTGAACATTTCATTGACACTGGCGGAATCCGATGAGCTGCAAAGCCTCCCCTCCCCCACAGATGTCCAGCAAGGCACGGGTGCGGAAAGTTACAACAACAACAACAACAATCAACAACAATCAACAACAAACACAATCAGGAGTGCAACGTATAGAGAGATGCGGGCCGCATTCAGACTCGCCCGCAGGGAAAATCCGAACAACGATCGCGCCGCACGGATGCCACCACCACCACCATCACCACCACCACGTTGTCTCCCAACGACCTTGTCACACCTCCCACAATCCCCCCGTTCACGAACAGAGGTCACATGAAACACGTTCACCGCGAGCGAAGCTGTGTGCGAGTTTTCGGAATTAAAAAAAAACAAATCTGAACATTTCATTGACACTGGCGGAATCCGATGAGCTGCAAAGCCTCCCCTCCCCCACAGATGTCCAGCAAGGCACGGGTGCGGAAAGTTACAACAACAACAATCAACAACAATCAACACCAACAAACACAACAGGAGTGCAACGTATAGAGAGATGCGGGCCGCATTCAGACTCGCCCGCAGGGAAAATCCGAATAACGATCGCGCCGCACGGATGCCACCACCACCACCATCACCACCACCACGTTGTCTCCCAACGACCTTGTCACACCTCCCACAATCCCCCCGTTCGTGCGAGTTTTGTTCCGTCTGAACGCGGGCATCAGGGCTAAATTTCGCGGCCTAACGCTCGACTGGACGGACGTCTTTCGTTCCGCAATTCGTAAAGAGCGACCGGCTTTATTACTATTATTATTTACTTATTTATTTCCGTATGTCAAAGGGGGGGGGGGCGGTGGCGGTGGCGGTTGCGGCGGTGGCGGGGGAGGGGGGTGCGACAATCTGCTTCAAATTAGCAAAAAAACCAGAGGCTGATGAATTATGAATGCGGCAACAAATGACTCGAGCCTCGTGATTAAAATGCGAGGCCACCGCATCTGCACGCTGATGAGCGCCAGATGCAAGAGGCGCGTGGCTCGCCCATCACTCACTCACTCACGGGGGAGCCCCCCGGCTGAGGCCTCGGAGAGAGAGGGGGTAGAGAGAGAGAGGGGGTAGAGAGAGAGAGAGGGGTAAGAAGGAGAGCAAAGCTTGAAATCTTTTGTGAAATCTTTCATTTAAAAGGGGGGGGGGGGGGTTTACATAAAGCAAACATTGAAAAAAAACAGAAATGATGAAGGAAGCAAAGTGCCGACTACACCGAGCATCTTCTTGTTTCCTCTGATCGTAAAAAAGAGAGGGGAGAGCGAGGGGAGAGCGAGGGGAGATAAATGAGAAAGAGGAGAGAGGTGAGAGAAATGAGAGAGAGGAGAGAGAGAAATGAGAGAGAGGAGAGAGAGAGAGGGGAGATAAAAATGAGAGGAGAGAGAGGAGAGAGAGAGGGTAGAGAGAAATGAAAGAAATGAGAGAGAGGAGAGAGAGGAAGCCGCGTCGATGGCTTCCCCGGCCACTGTCGCAAGCCCCGGCGCCACTCCGTGAGGGAAAAAAGTATTTGATCCCCTGCTGATTTTGTACGTTTGCCCACTGACAAATCAATGATCAGTCTATAATTTTAATGGTAGGTTTATTTGAACAGTGAGAGACAGAATAACAACAACAAAAATCCAGAAAAACGCATGTCAAAAATGTTATAAATTGATTTGCATTTTAATGAGGGAAATAAGTATTTGACCCCTCTGCAAAACATGACTTCGTACTTGGTGGCAAAAGCCTTGTTGGCAATCACAGAGGTCAGACGTTTTTTGTAGTTGGCCACCAGGTTTGCACACATCTTCAGGAGGGATTTTGTCCCACTCCTCTTTTCAGATCTTCTCTAAGTCATTAAGGTTTCGAGGCTGACGTTTGGCAACTCGAACCTTTAGCTCCCTCCACAGATTTTCTATGGGATTAAGGTCTGGAGACTGGCTAGGCCACTCCAGGACCTTAATGTGCTTCTTCCTAAGCCACTCCTTTGTTGCCTTGGCCGTGTGTTTTGGGTCATTGTCATGCTGGAATACCCATCCACGACCCATTTTCAATGCCCTGGCTGAGGGAAGGAGGTTCTCACCCAAGATTTGACAGTACATGGCCCCGTCCATCGTCCCTTTGATGCGGTGAAGTTGTCCTGTCCCCTTAGCAGAAAAACACCCCCGAAGATTAGGAGAACTCCCTTTAAGAGTGTACTCCTAATCTCAGCTCATTACCTGTATAAAAGACACCTGGGAGCCAGAAATCTTTCTTATTGAGAGGGGGTCAAATACTTATTTCCCTCATTAAAATGCAAATCAATTTATAACATTTTTGACATGCGTTTTTCTGGATTTTGTTGTTATTATTCTGTCTCTCACTGTTCAAATAAACCTACCATTAAAACTATAGACTGATCATTTCTTTGTCAGTGGGCAAACGTACAAAATCATCAGGGGATCAAATACTTTTTTCCCTCACTGTAGGTTCGATTCCCACACCCCCGGCCATCATGCGAGCAATGCGATAAACCATCGGGGGCGAGCAGCGATTAAACCACCCTGCTTGGACACCGGTAAAAACGACTAGACATCTGTGGAGAAAGATCTTCGCAGCTCATCGGATTCCTCCGGTATAAAGAAAGATTCTGATTCCGGAGTGACCTATAATATTCTGATTCTGATGGGCATACCCTCTGCTGCCAACCATGGCTGATTTGGCCGTTGAGAACCTGATGTGTGTGTGTGTGCGCATCAGTATGGTGTGTGTGTGTGTGTGTTCACACCGGAGTGATGTGGTACAGGAGGACGTGGAGCTGAGTGGACTTGCCGATGACTGGTACCAGCGGTGTCAAGATCGGCCTCTGTGGAGGAGGCTCGTGAAGGATGCTACTGGGCAGTTGGAGGCAGTCGCCCTCCAACAACAACGGAGGGCGGAGGAGCGACGCTCAGAACAACGAGCGGAGCGCCGGGTGGCTAAAGCACAGCAGGTTGGCACAGTAGGGGGCACAGGTGGTGCATCAGCCAGTCATCTTAGTCAGTCGACCCGTGGCACCTGGGTCTGCCCAGTGACCTCCTGCCAGCGGGCGTTCGACACTTCACGTGGCCTCACGGTGCACATAGCCTGGCACAAGCGTCGTGGTGACGTCACCGCCACTTAGTGGCGAATGGCGGTTGTTGTTGTTCACACCGGCATGGTGAGTGTGTGTGCCCATCAGAATGGTGCTGGTCACACCACCCTTGTGTGGCCTGACCAGTTGCTTTCTATCAGTGCGTGCCGAGCCGCCGGCCCCTCTGTTGTAGGAGGGCACAGCGGGGTCGCGGTTAGCGAACCTGGCGCGAGCGTGTCAGTACCTCGTGCGATGTCTTGTCCGGTGCCACCAGGTGAAAGCTGCAGCAGCAGCGCTCCTGGTGGCCAGCGCCACGCTGCTTCACCTGGCAGGAAGCGAGCGACACCGAGCCGCACAGATTTTTGTCTGGGGGGGGGGGAAGGTGCGAGGGAGGCGGGTCACGGGACCAACAAGTCACAAAGGTCAAGAGGTCAATCCTCCAAGAACTCACAGAGGTCACTCCTATAAGAAGTCACGGAAGTCAATAGTTCACTCCTCCAAGAAGTCAGAGGTCAAGAGGTCACTGCTCCAAGAATTCGCAGAGGTCACGGGCTCAATCCTCCAAGAAGTCACAGAGGTCAAGAAGGTCACTTCCATAAGAAGTCACGGAAGTCAATAGTTCACTCCTCCAAGAAGTCAGAGGTCAAGAGGTCACTGCTCCAACGCGTCAAAGGTCAATAGGTCACTCCACCAAGAAGTCGCAGAGGTCACGAGCTCAATCCTCCAAGAAGTCAGAGGTCACGAGGTCACTCCTATAAGAAGTCATAGAGGTCAAGAGGTCACTCCAAGAAGCCACAGAGGTAAACGCTCGTGGTGGATGGCCAGCACCATGCTCGGCCTACTTTGACTCCCCAGTGGCGACGTTTATACACCGCGCCAGGTACTCATTTGAGGTTGAGTCGACCTGGGGGAGGCCCAGGACCGGTTCAGATAATCGTTACTGGTCTTTGAGAATCGAGCCTGGGTCGCCGGGTTTGTAGCGCAACGCGTTAACCGCTGCACTACTGCTTCCCTTCACATACACACACACGACACCCAGATACGTAATATATCCCCATACACACACATCATACCAATGTGCTATATACCTAGACTTACCAGTACAAATAGTGGATTCTTGCATCTATCTGTGTGAGGCTATGAGTGTTATGCCCTTCGTGCGCGTGGATTACACAAACCTTCCTCAGTCACGGATTTGGACGAATATTTAAATTCATCATCCCTCCTGAAAATGAAAGCTATCAACTTTTTATTTTTATGTCACCAGGTAAGGCCCGCTGAGCTATATAGCTTTTATTCAGAAGCGACCTGTCCACAAATGATAGCTCAACGAAGTGGCTATTGTGGACATTTATGTCAGTCAAATACTCTAAATACATGTTTCTAAATGTGTAGGGAAAAACTGGAAGACCCGGAGAAAAATCCACGTGACCACGGGGAGAGAGACATGCAAGCTCCAAATATACAGCAGGCGTCAGGGTCGGGATCGGGATCGAACCCACGGCCTCCTGTATACCAGGCGAGGTAGTTAACATTGCATTGTTATAATAACTCCACTGCACAGTTACAATATAGCCACACTCCACACACACCACACACGCACATTATGAAAGCGCACAACACAACGCGCGTACAACACAACTCTTTACATAATTAAAATGGCACGGCTTATCCGAGGCCAAAAGACAACCCGTTTTAATAATGCCACGTTTTGTGAGTGTAACAAAAAATATATATTGTTATCATAAAACAAAAATCACGGGAAATTATTACAGCGCTTGCAATTATAGGGGAGCCCTAAACTAGTTAGCTGGCTCAATAGATGACTCTGAAGTGTATCGAATAACCGTAAGAAGTGAAATGCTCAGTGCTTAACGATCCTCTTCCGATATTCAATATTCCAACTGAGACATCGCCCCCCCCCTCCTCCGCCTCTGCCCCCCCCCCCAACCCCTCCTCCCCTTGAGTGACTCGAAATAACTCTGGCGGTCACTCAAAAAAGAAAACCTCAAAACCTCCTCCGCCTCGGAGGACTCATCACCAACGGACGTACCGCGATTCCTCTACCTCGCATTCTCCTACCCCACCACCGCCATACTTCCCCACTCCCTGCCCTGCCATCTAAAGGCTGCCTGGCTAATTAAGCCCCCTCGCTGCCGTCGTAAAGAAAGCAGACGGAGAGAAATTCGAGCGTAAATCCTGCACCCCCACACACACACCCTTCCTAGACGCTGCCTTTGTGTTTGGTGGGCGGCTCGTGGATCAAGGTGATAATGAAAACCATGAATTAGGGTTGTTCTGGGGCTCCCCGCGAAACACGAGGGGGGGGGGGGGTGGGGGGGGGGCTGGGCTGGTGAGCAGCGAGGAGGCGGTGGCTGGAACCCCCCTCGCGCCGTAAATCCCCGCGCAGGAAGGACCTCCAAAACGCCATCCCGCATAATGACTTTGCTTGCCAGCATTTGGGTCCGAAGTTTTATTTTCCCCACCCATTTCCTCCTCCACCCACCCACCCTCTCCTCCCTCCCCCCCCACCAGCCACACCTTCGTTTAAAGGTTAATGATCTTTCCAAAATTCAATTTCTGCCAAGCCATGAAGGTCACCACCCTCGCCATTGACCGAGCCACTTCTCGGCAAAATGCCCGCTCGACAATTTGTTCGAAAGCCGCCCATCCCAGTGCATGACGATAGCTGTCAAGATCGCAACGGATCTGAGATGCCAACTCGCCTCCAAGGGTTAGCTCTGCCCTGGACGGTGTGTAATGTACAGGTATATCCCTCGCTCCTCTGTGCGGTCGTAGTAGATGCGTTCCAAAACAAGGGGGACCACACAAAAAAAGCGAAACCCGCACGAGGAGACAGCTGCCTGCCGAGTAGTACGCATAGTGCATGCAGCGCACACATTACATCCAGTGCACGCGGTCCCTGAAGTACACACACAGTACATATATAGTACACACACACACAGTACAAACATAGTACACACACAGTACACATAATACACACACAGTACACACATAGTACACACACAGTACACATAATACACACACAGTACACACACACAGTACACATAATACACACACAGTATACACACACACACAGTACATATATAGTACACACACAGTACAAACATAGTACACACAGTACACATAATACACACACAGTACAAACATAGTACACACACAGTACACATAACACACACACAGTACACACACACACACAGTACACATAATACACACACACAGTATACACACACAGTACATATATAGTACACACACACACACAGTACAAACATAGTACACACACAGTACACATAACACACACACAGTACACATAATACACACACAGTACACACACAGTATACACACACAGTACACACACACACAGTACACACACACACACACAGTACACATAACACACACACACAGTACACACACACAATGTTGTCCCACGTCCGACCGCATGGTCGCATACAGAGTGAATTCAACCCGCATTGTACAGGGCGAAATCGCACAAACCGAACCCCCATAGAAGCTGTATGTACATATATATATTAAATAAAGGCGTATTATGAAGTTAAACTGGTTTGGTCTCCGCAACAGATAACGATTCCCCATGCATACGCGACGTTGTGCTCCCAGGCAGCGTTAATTGCGAAGGTGACGAGTTTGGTGGGTTCACATCGTACGTTATGCCGCTCCCCAATATGCCTGGACACTTTTTTTTCTTCACGACGTGAATTCTTATCGGGGCCCCATGGTGAATAGTGCAGGCTCGCGACTATTATTCATTTGGAATCATGCGTCGAGATTGTTTCGGTGATTTTGCCGCTGTGGATTTACACGCCATCGGCCACTTCACTGAGCTGTCGTTTGTGGCCCTGGTCACTTCTGGAAAAAGAAGCTAAGAGGTCAGTGGGCCTCACCCCGTCAGATAAAAATATAGTTTAGTTTTATTTGTATATGTTTTTTTTTAAGTGACTTGTTTACCTTCCCTCTACGTTGCACTCCTATCGTGTTTATTTTATTTTTTGTTGCTTTAACGTTCTGACCTCCGTGCCCTTTACTGGACATCTGTGAAAAAGAGCTTCAAAGCTCATCGGATTCCTCCAGCAGTACACACAAAGATTCTGATGATTCACTTCTATCTCTCTGGCATGTCTACTTATGTTCTACGAAGAACAGGCCACTTGCACGAAACGTGGCCTATTATACACATCGCTTTCATTTCAAGGCTGCACTGATATTGACTAATGTGGTGGTGGTGGTGGTGATGGTGATGATGGTAGTGGTGAAGGTAACCACGTTGGGTTTAAGACTCGCGGGAAGTTTGTCGATATGTGTCGGGAGTGCGCCCGTTCCTCGTTCCGTTTCCCCATGATGACAATGAATGGACTCGCCACTCAGAAGGTTGACAAGTTCAATCCAGGTCCATGGCTCAACTCAGCCCATCATACCCCCAGGAGGGTCAATAACAATTTGCACTTTTTTTAATACACGAATCAAAGCTGAAAGTAATTCGTGCTGTGCGATCTTCAACCTCTCTGGCCTATCTATGTGCTGCGAGAAGCAGGCCCGTCGCCTGAAACGTCGCCAATTGTACACTTTTCCACTCAAGGCGACAGTGCCATTTGGCGAACGCGTTGAGAGAGTGTTTGTTGTTGCTCATTGCGCTTGTGTAACCATTGCCAAAGCAGCAGCAGCAACAGCCGCAAAACCACCAAATAATTTATCATCATCAATCAATCAGCCTTACAGGACATTCGCACCCTCAGCGTCTCCCCCACCCCCATTGTGTGCACCCGATGTCTGTGACCACCACCCCGGCGTGTGTGTGGAGCACAACGAGCTGAAGGGACACCTCCGCCGACGGGACACGGTGCAGACAGCACTCGCAGCGCGTCCACACACAACACGGGGCGGGGGGGAGGGGGGGGTGAGAGGTCACGATCGGGACCCGGGTAGGAGGCATCCTCGTTCGCACGGCTCAGGGAGTGCAGGGTGGTGAAGGTCGTGCAGGGTGGTGCATGGCGTGCGGGGAGGTGCGGGGAGTTACAGGGTGGTGCAAGGCGTGCAGGGTGGTGCAGGGTGGTGCAGGGTGGTGAAGGTCGTGCAGGGCGTGGATGGCGTGCGGGGAGGTGCAGGGAGGTACGGGGAGGTGCAGGGTGGTGCAGGGTGGTGCAGGGTGGTGCAGGGCTCTCAGAGTGGTGCAGGGTGTGCAGGGTGGTGCAGGGTGTGCAGGGTGGTGCAGGGTGTGCAGGGCGGTGCAGGGTGGTGCAGGGTGGTGCAGGGCTCTCAGAGTGGTGCAGGGTGTGCAGGGTGGTGCAGGGTGTGCAGGGTGGTGCAGGGTGGTGCAGGGTGTGCAGGGTGGTGCAGGGTGGTGCAGGGCGTGCAGGGTGGTGCAGGGCGTGCAGGGTGGGTCAGGGTGGTGCAGGGCTCTCAGGGTGGTGCAGGGCGTGCAGAGTGGTGCAGGGTGGTGCAGGGTGGTGCAGGGTGGTGCTGGGCGTACCTTTCTTGTCGCCGTACAAGCGCAGCTCCCGTGCGGTGAGGACACAGAAAGCATTCAGCGCTTGGCCCACGACCACCCGGCCTGCGTCTGTGAGCAAACGCGAGTTAGCTTGAGTGTCGCCGCGGGTCGCTCGTGCAAAACGACACTTCCTCTTGTGCGGGCCCCCCTTCACTCATTGTCAAGACACCGACCCTCTCCGGCGTGAAGATGTGCCAACGCCGAGCAGACAACGACTACGAAGGGACCGAGTCTGCATTAAACACACGTGCTTGTGGTAATTAAAAGAGTTGCCCAAATATGCTACGATCCGTTTCCGCAATGTCCTTGAAACCGATTGGCCTACACCAGGGACAACCCGCATATACTCTCTGGTCCTTTCTCTGGTTCTTTCGGTAAAGTCACGTAGATAGAAAGAATAACAACAGAAGACGTGGCGTTTCGGTCGCAACACAAGCGTCCGTACGTGACTTCACCGAAAGAACTGGAGAGTATGGATTCCTGCAGTCACGAAAGCTTCAAATCAAGACTGGACCTGTATATATATTATTACCCATAAGCACGCGCGGTCAATGTGGACGTGACGCCTTGTAATAGGCGTCTGTTTGGTGTTTGAGCATCTGAAACACCTGCCTGTAATTTACACTCGAGAACCATCCTCTTCTCTTGCTTCTTTTGCACCTGGTGAAACCAAACAAGCCGAACTCGCCTTCGCCCCGCGTCAAAAAGGAGATCCGAAATGAACCACCTCTCGTGAGCGCCCTGCTCGGAATCCACCAAGCGCCAAAGAGACGGCGAGAGGAGCACGCGTTCAGATGTCGGCGCTCCTGCGGCCGTCTGGAACGCTCTTCCCTTCCGATGTTCGGAAGCCCCCTGGAGCTATGCACTTTTCAATGATCTCCATTTCCTTAGAACCACTCGTGTGTTCACTTTGTCGTCCTTGACCCTCGCACCTCCGATTAGCACGTACGGTGCGGAAAAAGTTCTACATACGCACATATATACACACACGTACGAACATATATACACATACGTACATGTATATACATACATATATACATACGCACATATACATACGTACATACATATATACATATGTAATATATACGTACGCACATATATATACACGTACATATATATACATACGTACGTACATATATACGTACATATATACGTACACATATATATATACATACGTACGTACGGACCGGACGCATCGCGGCGAGAAGGAGGCGATGGCCGCCGGTCGAGACTAGTGGGCGAATGGCAGCCAAAGCATGGAACGCGCAGTGACCACCGCAGGGATGCAGCAAATGAGATCGATTCACGTGCAGAAGGACGGTGGGGGGTGGGGGAGACTGAGGTGTGAAAGAACCGACGTTGGTAGTCGTTCATCCAGCAACAGAGAGAGCATGGCTCTCGATGATGACGACGATGATGATTATTATAATGACGATATTGTTTTGGGTTGAACGTGCCAATTCGTGTGCTGGACTATGAACGAATTGGAATTGTTGGTTTAGGCGTTGGGTTAGAGCGCGTAGATATAAATGGGTTGTTGAACCTGCCGACACATCCAATTAGTAAGGTTTATTACGCATCATCATCATCGCCTGATGGAGCTGATTGTCATCACGAGAGAAACGTCACAGTAATAGCATTGTAAACATGTCGGGGGTTTACTCTCCAACTAGTAACTAAATTGGCACGTTTTGTTTACGTGACAAACCTTGCTAATTGGCTGTGTCGAGTCGTGGCGGGTTTAACGACACATCCATATTGACGCGATATAACCCCTAAACCCCCCCCCCCCACCTCTACGATGGATAATATTGCTCGCGAAAGTCGACCACGTGTTTATAATGACGACGGTTTGCACAAGACGCTGTCAGCTGTCAGATGCGAACGCCCCAAATGAGTAGCTATGCGAATGCGTGGACTTAAAATAAAATTTAAAAAAAAACACATTCTGATTGGTGTCAATAACTCGAGTAGCGTGCCTCTGGTGCCCAATTTGAAGTTAACGTCCCGTGAACGAAACGGATTCAGTTTTTTTTTTTGGGGGGGGGGGGGTCACAGAGGTCGCTGCCCCCTCGATTGCCCCAACGCTCGCTTTGATTGCTCCGCGTCTCCCTTCGGCTGCCCTTGCAGGGGCTTAACCGCGCGATGAAGAAATCTGACGCCCCCATCTCCCTCTCCCGTCTCAAACACCGATTATATATTTATTAATTCGTTGCTGTTGCACAAATGAAAAATAGAACCCGGTAATTGTCGCTCCCAACGTTACAAATCGCTACACGCTGCCTCGAGCCATCTTTATACTTTTACGTCTGGATACAATTAATAAATATTAATATCACATTAACAACCTTTATGAATTATGCAGGGGGCGGGGTGCGGTGGGCGGGGGGGAACACGGCGGGACATTAGTGACAAATTGATAGGCGTCCGTGCGTGCGTGCGAGCGTGCGAGCATGCGAGCGTGAGTGAGCGAGTGAGATCCACGTGGCCCCATAACTTAGTCACTTCTGAAGAGCGGCATCAACACGGGCTGAGAGCGCGAGGCTGGCGAATGATAGCGCAGAGGGCCGCCGAGTTTGAGGATTGAAGGCGGTGGGTTTGGGAGACGCTTTTCGTGTCACAGCCGCTGCTGCCGATTTTTGTTTTGTTTTACTTAATAAAGAAAAATGTTACGATAAAAAAAAATCCCTCCAGCTCCCAGGCTGTGTAGATGTTTGTTTACTTATTTGCGATTGTTCCGCTGTGCGGTTACCTCTCTTCTTGACTTCCAAATATCCTTCCTTGATGGCGTTTTCATGGCCGGGAGCACCTGGAGAACGAGGCAGACCAACCGAGGATTAATCGTGGCTACTTCAGAATCAGGGATCTTTATTGAGACTGCAGGTATGAGGAGGAGGAATCCGATAATCTACGAGGCTCTCTTTCACCAGATGTCCAGCATGGGCTGGTCACTTAGCGCCGTCAGAGAGAAACGTCACGGCAACATCACAGCCAACGAACCGCAGTCGCCCGAACAAGAACAACAACGAGGAAAACGCGACGCTGTTGTTTCGCGAATCTCAACGTGTCTATGTCGGTGGCGAGAGGGCGCCACGGTGGCTAGGAGATGTTCACCACCTCTTCCCGGTATACAGAAAGTCGTGGCTTCGATCTCGACCCTGACGCCTGCTGTATATTTAGAACTTGCGTCTCTCTTTCTCTCTCTTTCCCCCCGTAGACGCGTGGCATTTTTCTCCGGGGTAACTCCCCGCATTTAGAAGCACGCGTTTAGAGCATTTGGCTGCTATGAATTCCCACACGATGATAAGCCACTTCGTTGAGCGATCATTTGTGGCCAGGTCGCTGCTGAAGAAGAGCTACGTAGCTTAGTGTGCTTCACCTGTCGATCATGTTCAGCAACAATAACTCCACGATCGCTGGGCATGTAACAACATTGCACTACGCAACCCCCCGGAGATCCGATGATGAATTCTCAAGACCTGCGGTCACGATTCGATTCACCGATCACCTCCCGTTTCCATTGTCTGCTCACTTTGTTCGGTTCGTTTGAACGGTGTTTTCCTCGCTCCATAGCGAACAAAAGGTAACATTTGCATGATATTAGATGTAATTACCAGCGAAACGTCGTACTACTCAAATTGTAAATGTTGTGGATTTACTCTTCAACACACGGGTGGGCTAAGGTAGTCACTAATTGGCGCGTTGTTCACGTGACAAACCTTCCTGGCTGTGTCGGGTGGTGGAGGGTTACGACACATTTATACTAACGCGATCCAACCCAAAAACCTTTATTATGAATAATACTGGTCGCGAAAGCCGACGTGTAAAACTGATTTTCATATCATTTGCATACTATTTCCATACGGTGTAAATCAAGTTTCCCTAGACGCCCAATGCAATGCATTTATCACGAGCCGCTGATCGACGAATCGACGGAATGTCACAAACATTAAAATAAAATAAAAAAATTACGAACAGCGGTGTTCCGATGGAGAGACCGGTCTACTGCCATAGTAAAGTGGAAGTTCCACAACTGGTTCAAGCCTTACATTGGCTGAGTCCTTTCCAGCAATTTGTTCTTCACGTGAACGGGGCAAAGCGTCGACTTTGATTTCTGACTCTGACAAGGTTTCTGTGCTACCACGTTCCCCCCCCCTGCCCCCCCCCATCGAAAATGAGCATTAATTGCCCCAATGGGTTTGTATACATGTTTAACACGTAGGCCTTCGCGACCAATATCATCCATAAGAGCTTTTTGGGTGAGATCGCATGACCATACAAATGTGTCGTTAAACCCGCCACCAATGTCACACACATGTTGTGGGCTTACTCTCGAATTAGCACGTGTTTTGTTTACGTGACAAACCTTGCTGATTGGCTGTGTCGGGTGGTGACGGGTTTAACGACACATTTACATCTACGCGATATAACCCCAACCACCCCTCCCCCCCTCCCCCCCCCCTCTGTTATGGGTGTTTACCTGTGGCCAAACCAAAAACTCATATTAACTCTGACAGAAACAAGCCGCATGCCGATTGCGTTTGTGGGTTGCGACTAATTGCACGGGGCACTGCGCCAACCGCGTCCGCTTGAGTTTTTATTACATTTTAACGCCTTTACGATGCTTTATTTTTAATCTGCAAGGCGTGATGTGGCATTGATTCGGGCGGAGGGTGGGGTGGGGTGGCGGGGGGAGGTTGCGGATGAACAGCTGTTTTTTTTTGTTGATATTTAACGTTGGAAGCGATTTAACCGGGATTGGGTCGTATCGACGCGTCGGCACAAGGCCGCCGCAGCTGTCTGCGCGCGCCCCGTTGCAATAACCCAACTAGGGAAATCAATCTTTACGATTGTCCGCCGGCACGCACTGATAGTCCCTTATCATAGGCCTGGGCTAGCCCCCCCCCCCCCCCTAGAGTAGGCGGGGAGGGGAGGAGCGGGGTGGGGAGCCTTGAAGAGGCCGAGCCCCCCACCCCACGCCACCTACGAGAAGCTGAGGACACCTTCTAACGTCACACTAAATTGTCAAATTGGACACACGCGCGTGTCGGGGCTTTCGCGACCGCTGTTATGATCCGTACGTACGTGCTTTTCGTTGTTGTTGCTCACAGATCGCCGCGTGAGTAAAAAAAAAAAAAACGTGTTTTGTGTCGTCGGCCCTCCCACCACCCGACGCGGCCAATTAATAAATTCAAGCGACGGCGGCGCTGCTGAAGCAGTAGGCGCTCACCGCGGGAAAACGTCATCACTTGGCTGTATCGAGTGGAAGAGGGCCCACCACACACACACACACGCGCGCGCAACATTGACGAGATCACGTCACCACCGACTGACTCCATCGCGTCGCGTGACAGCTCATGCACACGAGCGGTTCCAGCGTTAACAATTCAAGCAGCTCCACCTTGTGGGAAGTCGGCGGCGATTGTCGCGAGAGACTTTGCCTGCTCATAGCAATGTGGCGTTTACACCAGCAGATCAGGAAGATTTAGTTGGCTTTTTTTTTTAGTTTACTGATTTCATATTGTGTGGGCTAGCTACTGGCGTGATTACACACAGTCACGTGGTGGGGGGGGGGGGGGTGTGGGCTAGCTACTGACGTAATCACATACACAGTCACGTGGGGGTGTGGGCTAGCTACTGACGTGGTAACATACACACAGTCACGTGGTGGTGTGGGCTAGCTACTGACGTAATCACACACACACAGTCACGTGGGGGGTGTGGGCTAGCTACTGGCGTGATCAGTCACACACAGTCACGTGGGGGGGGGGGTGGGCTAGCTACTGACGTGATCACACACACAGTCACGTGGTGGGGGGGCCTAGCTACTGACGTGATCACACACACAGTCACGTGGTGGGCTAGCTACTGACGTGATCACACACACAGTCACGTGGTGGGGGGGGCTAGCTACTGACGTGATCACACACACACAGTCACGTGGTGGGGGGGGCTAGCTACTGACGTGATCATACACACAGTCACGTGGGGGGGTGTGGGCTAGCTACTGACGTGATCACACACACACAGTCACGTGGGGGGGCGGGGTGTGGGCTAGCTACCGACGTGATCACACACAGTCACGTGGGGGGGGGGGGGGGGGCTAGCTACTGACGTGATCACACACACAGTCACGTGGGGGGGGGGGCTAGCTACTGACGTGATCACACACAGTCACGTGGGGGGGGGGGGGGGCTAGCTACTGACATAATCACACACACACAGTCACGTGGTGGGGGGGGGGGGCTAGCTACTGACGTGATCACACACACAGTCACGTGGTGGTGTGGGCTAGCTACTGACGTGATCATACACACAGTCACGTGGGGGGGGGGTGTGGGCTAGCTACTGACGTGATCAGTCACGTGGGGGGGGGGGGGGGAGGTGGTCACGCCATCCACGTTGCTCAACTCCCGCTCATCCCGCACCAGCCGTGCGGGCCGAGGCCAACGACGACCGCCGATCAAAGACTGACGAGTCTGTCCGGGAGTTCCCGCAGTCCCATCCGAGTACCAAACCAGGCTCAGTCCCTGCTTCTCGTTCACGCGCTGGTGGTGGCTATGCACGTGCGGCCTGTGATGCAGCACCTGTGGAGGCGAGGGTTGGTGGCTCACCGCGCTGTTGAGCCACCTTCCCCGCGGGCCACGAGGAGGTGCCCTGCCTCGCCAGGAGACAGCAGTACGGCAAAAATGATCGGTTCGGGATAGCGTGTTGCGTCCTCGCACGCGTGGCCTTCATCCGGATACTCCGGTTTCCTCCCACATGTAAACTCTCGGTAATTGTTCGACGGCACCTGGATACACAGAGAACCGCAGAGCTTGGAAAATTGTTGGTAGCAACGAGTCTACCGCCTGGCTGCTGCCGCTGCTGCCTTAGCAGCTGGTCTGTGGTCCCTCCTCCTGACGCCTCTGAGTCGTCCTCTCTGAGTCATCCTCTCTCTTTCTCTCTGAGTCGTCCTCTCTCTCTGAGTCGTCCTCTCTCTCTGAGTCGTCCTCTCTCTCTGAGTCGTCCTCTCTGATTCGTCCTCTCTGAGTCGTCCTCTCTCTCTGTCTCTGATTCGTCCTCTCTCTCTGAGTCGTCCTCTCTCTTTCTTTCTGAGTCGTCCTATCTGAGTCGTCCTCTCTCTATGAGTCGTCCTCTCTCTCTCTCTCTCTGAGTCGTCCTCTCTGAGTCGTCCTCTTTCTGTCTCTCTGAGTCGTCCTCTCTGAGTCGTCCTCTTTCTGTCTCTGTCTCTACGGAGACTGTCCGGTGGCGGGGCGTTACAACTTGACGCCATCATCATCATCATCGTCGTCATTCTTCTCTTCCGAGATGGGGCGAGGATCAGGCGCGTCCGAGCCCGGTGTTGTCAGGTTCCACGCTGTGTGGCCGCGTGGAGGAGGAGGAGGATGAGAGGGTTGTTGTTGTTGTTTTGTTTTCACAACCGTTTGTTCCTCGCCGTGTCCGGTTGATCGGCGACTGCTGAGAACTACGGGCAGCCGTGGCAGCAGCAGCCGCGGCAGCAGCAGCCGCGGCAGCAGCAGCAGCGGTGTCTGCGGCAGCTCCTGCCGCTTTCGTGTAATTGATGGGACGAGGTTGCCGTAGCGTGGCTAATGCGCGTCGCTGATGAATCACCCCGCAGAGCGGCCGCCGCGGCTTAGCACGCGAGACACACGCGGATTTTAACGCACCCGCTCTCAAGAGACGCACACACACAAAGACTCCCCCCTCCTCCTCCTCCTCCTCCCTTCACCGTATAGCCTTAACAGTGCTGTTAGCGAGCACCTATGAAGGCCGGCACGGCACGCGAAGGGGCGTGTGACCAGCACC